GTTCTTTTGAGTAAGTCACATAATCCTTCGCACTTCCCAACTTTTGTTTTGCATCCATGTCTTTTATATGGGAGAAGAAACTACGTTAGAAATCTACTTTTTCAGAACTTTTGGCAGAAACGTTTGCCATGTAATGGATCGGAGCCGGTGATCTTTTCAGTTCACTCATTATCCGCACCCGGACAAATGCGGAAAGGTTTCCAGCGCTTGAAGGATTATAATTGCACATATGATAAAAGGCTTATTGTAACCTAATCTATCCCTGGTACTTATAGAGAAGATTTATCTAAGGTAGAGAGTCATAAGAGATTAGAGAAACTTAACGGTGTCGTATCGAATAATAAAAATAAGTTTGTTGTCTGCGAAATGTCGATTGTCTCAGTTATGAAAGAATAAAACTGATCGTTACTGCACCAGAGGAGGACCGAAGGAAAGCCTTTTGAGATTGATTTGCAAATTTGTGAATAAGACTTGGTTGATAATGAATATAACTTGGTTGATAATCTTTTGGAAAATTCAAATTAACTTTGTCAGATCCTAAAAAAATTTTCGGAAGGCACGCCCCTCTACCCCTCCCACTTCCGAACAAATTTTCTGGCATTTACTGGCATGATAAATTTTAAAGTCTGATATAGACCTCATGGTTGGAAAAATGGAAAGGTCAGTTGTGATAGCAAAAATCGATGCTTCATAATGGGGGAGAACAAGGACCATTATACTACATCCAAAATGCTTTATTCAGTAGCGGAACCCTTATAATCGCAACCGGAGGCACTACTTTCACCTCCTATCGAAAGACAATTTGAACTATGATTTTCAGCAAATGCGAGTAGAAAACAAAGAATTTACAGCTATCTCTGCATTACGTAATTTACTTATCAATGACTTAGCTAGAAATTTCATGATTGATGTTGTTTTCTTCAATCCAAGAATATATCGCTTTCCAAGTGTCACCATCACACCGTGCAAACCATTGAGCTACTAATATAGACAACCTCTGGTGAGATTGCTGCGGAAGCAGGCTGATGGCAGAAAGAAGCACATAAAAGCTCCATGACCAGTCCTCAAATTCAGCATAAATTTTGTGGGTTTTGAAAAGGTGAAAGATTGCAATACACTTACCTGTGCATCTGAATCACTTCCTTTTTTGAGAAATGCTGCAAGTCTTTCAGATGACGTAAGTTGGAAGAAGGCGGCACGGATGAAGTAGTCCATAAATGAGACCAGCTCAACCACATTATGCTCCTCCTGCAAGATTATGACAATAATTAAGATGATGGGAATAACTTTGATCAGACAATGGCCTGATCATTGCACCTGCTCACCTCTACAAAGCGCTCAAGATTCAGAATATTCATTCCTTGGCGAACGCGTTGAGAATACCAGGACTGGCCACGGGGTGTGACACCAACACTCATAAGATGCAACATTTCTTCTGTTATCCTGCAAAAAAAGCAGTTATATTTTCTAAATTAACATTCAAGCCTTCAATAAACTTACGTGGACGATGTCGGTTCGCCGCATTCAAACCGAAAACACGAGAAAGGGTTATTTGTTGTTTGTAGCCTAAGCACCACCGACGAAAAGAATATGCGAAGCAAAGCTACCACGACAACATAGATAGGCTAAAATGAAGATATTGTGCATGCATGTGTATGAACGTTCAACAGTTAAATTTTCGGCAAATTTGATGCATCTACCTTGGCGATTCCTTAGGCACCCGCCATACTTGATCCTCTCGATCCTCTTAATCCACTTGATCCGCTTGATCCGCTTAATC